TCATATTGCGTTCCATGTGTTGGGTATGGCAGAGACCCGTCGAAGAATCCAAGAATCTGCACACCTTCCATCATCAACTCGAATTCAAATGACCAGGTGAAGAAATGTTTTCCGTCGAATGGTCTTGACGTCTGTAGCTTTAAGACGTGCGCGAACTGCGACTGAACTTGAAGTGCATCCAATGTCTTCTCTTGCTCAGGTGAAGGCTGCCGACGCGGCATGAAGCTGACGGAACCGCGCTGGGGTTCGTACGGGGCGAAGGTAGGCTGCTGTTGCTGATTTCCTCGCGCGTAGGATGAACCGTCGAGGCTCATCGGTGTCACATCGTTGTTGTTGCTGCTGATGTTTGACTGCGCAGGTGCCGCTTGCTGGTGTTGTTCGTAGAAGGACATGAAGGAGAAGAACTTCTCCATCATGCTTGGGTCGAAGCCCGCGGCTTGATTTGCGGGAGTTTTGGTGGACCCAGCTGCTGGTCTTGTTGCCGTGCCCTCCTCTGTCTGTAGGCCAGAGACACAAGGGGTGGAGTAGGAGTAGTGCCGGGAGAGCCGTTAGAGGAGCTTCTCTCCTTGTGCGTTGCCATGCCTTCTAATGTTGTAGGTGTTTTGGAAGTAGTTGAGTTTGCCCTGATAGCTCTCATACCATGTTGGGCTGAGAAAAGCCCTTAGGATCTCTGCAAAGCTAAACTCTGCATAGGGACAATGTAATAGTGGAAGCGTTTTGATGACAAGTGTTTGAACCACCTTGCGCTGGTATGTGAGGGCAAAGTAGATTCATTAAAACAAGGCAATACAAGGTTTTTTTTAAAAGTGTACAAGGAATACGACGAGACACAGCTAATAACTGTTTTACTGTTGCTGTTGCGGTTCGATACCGTGACAACTCGGGCAACTGCTCAATAACGAGTCAGTTGTTTGTCCTTGCTGTCGCGCTGTATTTGTCAGGTCAAAGGTCCCTGACCTTTGACTTTCGTGTAACCTCCAGCAGTTGCTTTACTTCTCAACCTCCACGTGTTGACTCGCCGATGCTTCGTTGTGCTTCGCCTCGTTTACGACTTAGTGTTTCGACACACAACAGAAGCGCTTAAATTACTTGTTTCCAACAAGTAACAAGGATTTACAGTATTAGCAGCTCAAGTACAATGCAAAGTCTTGGAAGTGACGAGAAAGGGTGGTAAAGGAACTGGGTGATCAGTTCCCATGAATATACAGTCGGTTTTGATGGCTCTTACACAGGGGGGTTATGTCCATTATCACCAGCCTACTTATGCACTAATCGATCAGAAACTGTACCATCAAACCACTGTACTATGTGAGAACCTAGAGAAGTCTTCCCAATCAGGGCTAATTTTTGGTTTTGGCCAACCCTTACGATCAGTGTTGCTCATCATCAAAAACCTGATTCTCAGAGTATCCCTCTTTGAAAATCCTGATTTGTCAGGGTTTTTGCAGATCTAAATTTTTTTACCCTGGATCATCAGTGTAATATTTTTTCAAGCCCTTGAGACAGTTAGTTTTAACACTGCACAGGATAACAATCTCAATCATCATCGTGCCAGCACACATAATGTCGTGTCGAATTGTACAGTTGCGATATGGCAAAGGGGATTCCCAGGTTTCGGGGAATGGGGGTTACGGGAAGGTTGGGGGGGGGGGGGCGTGTGAAAATAAGTGATAGAGTAAAGGCGCCATAGCTAGGAAAGACCTAGCTAGGCAAGAATAGTTTAGGCAAAAAGAGAGGGTTTCACTAGAAAGCAGCAGGATACATATAGGAAACCCTTAGGGGTTCTACTCACTATAGAGTACCCCACTGCAGGCTAGAGAACAGTAACATTCTCACACACCCCCATAGCCAAAGTGGGGTGTAATCAGCAGAGCAAGCAAAGCAGAACAAGCTCAGAGTGGATCACAATGTCACCACACATTCTGAGCACAAAGACAAGAAGCAATGGTTTAAAGTTCACACTTATGAGCAAAGCTAGAGGCTATCGCAGAGGACAAGTGAGGAGGAGGAGGCGAGACTGTAAGAGGAGAGGAGATAGGAGGCGACGACTGAAGCTGCAGACACACGGGCAACAGGAGGCACACTGGCATAGCGGCTACCGGAACAGCGCTCCGGACTACTGGAGTAACTGGCCCCGCGGCTAAAAGTAGCGGCAGACGAGCAACGGACCCACGGGCGACTAGCACAGGTGGCTACGGCTGGGCTACCGGAGCAACTCCCCGGACTACAGGTGCTGCTGGCGACACTACGGCAACCTCCGATCAACCTCCCCAAACAGTCCCACCCCCCTTGACACACACCCGCTGCTTCACCCCTAGCTCCACTCCCCCTTCACCCCCCCTTAGTACCACTCCGACGGCTCCAACAGGTCCACCCCCCTTCAACGGCAGCTGCAGCACTGGGAGACGGAGGAGGAGGAGGAGCAGAGAACGGCACACAGAAGTTGCACCCCCATACCCCTCACCCCCAAACCCTAATCCAAAGGAATGGGCAGAAGAAGGGGTGGGGCCCAAGAAGAGGCACGGGGAACAGCAGGTAGGGCAGGGGCAGTGAAGAAAGGGCCGCCAACGGGCCTGGTACAGGCGCCCGACCCGCGCGCAGGCAGCATGAGTCGCGCGCGGGCCTGGCGCAGCCCGTACGGGCCGCGCGCGGGCCTGACGCAGCCCGTACGGGCCGCGCGCGGGCCTGGTGCAGCCCGTACGGGCCGCGGACGGGTCTGGCGCGGCCAGTACGTGCCGCGCGCAAGCTGTACGGGCCGCGCGCAGGCCACGACGGGCGACGGGGGGCGACGCGGAGGTCCCCGTCGCCCGTCGCAGCGCCTCCCGGGAGCGGCGCACGGCGTGACGGGGCAGAAACCCGCCGCGCGCCTCGGGGCGCACGGCGGGAAGAGAACCGCCACGCGCCTCGGGGCGCACGGCGGGCAGAAAACCGCCGCGCGCCTCGGGGCGCACGGCGGAAAGGGAGAGTAGCAGTTGCAGCGGAAGGAGTGTGGTGGGGCCCACAGGCCAGGAGCTTACTGCTCTGATAACCATCTGGAAGTAATAGGCAGAAGTAGGAGCCATAGCTAGGAAAGCCCTAGCTAGGCAAGAGAAAGTTTAGGCAAAAGAGGGGGTTGCATTAGCAAGAATGAGGATACAAATAGCAAACCCTAGAAGGGTTGTACTCGCTATAGAGCACCCCACTACAGGCCAGAGCATAACATTCTGACAGGGCGGGGGGTCCGCTGGAACTTGCTTCAGGGTAGAACTCGCTAAGAGCTTCGGCAACCCTGACGCGACAGTGTAGCTTAAATGTAAACCCTGGCACATCAGGGTAAATGAAGGTCCCAAAAAAATTACCCTACTGCATCAGTGTTACTACCTAAAAACCACCCTATTCATCAGGGCATCAGGGTGATTTACCTTGATAAAATAGGCCCTGTTCCCAATTCGTGGTTTCGTCCAAAAGTCCTCCCACAAAATCCCATGTGTAACTGCAACTGGCGAATCCGCAGCTATTGTGGTATCTGCGCTTTCAATAGCACTCTCCAACTCCTCATAGAGCACAGATGCTGCAACAAACAGTGCATCTCTCTCTCTCTCTCGCCCTCTGTGCAGTAATTTGAATTCCCCTGTATCCCGCTCCACTCCTTTCTCATTACAATCCCAGTAACGTCGTTGATCTGTAATTTTTCTTGTAAGCATAGAGAAGAGTGCTTATCATTCCATGGTAACAGCCCGCCGTGCTGGCTGGCTCTTTTGTCGAATAAAGTGTGAAATACATATGTGGGGGTTGTAATGTGTTGCAAAGTGTACTGCAGAAAAAAACACTTCCAATGCTCAATCTCAGGTAAGGCTGGGGGGGTGAAAGGGGGTAAGGGTTGATGGGAGAGGAAGGAGGGGATATGGTGTAGCAAACAGAGGAGTGAAATAATGGGGGATACCTTTGAGTCAACTCAGAACGTGGCAACTTGTGCTTCCATGCAAAACCACGTGACTTGTGATTCATCGAAACGACGTGGCTTGGTGAGTTGGCGCAAATGAGGTGTTGAGAGTCGACACAAAAAATGTTTGTAAATTATTACTCGATTAATAACCACATTTAGTGATTCGACTCGCAACGGGATGAATTTTCAGTCCCCTCACACGTCACTTTATCGAGTCAACTCAGAAGGGGGTCATAGGGCAGAGGAGTGGGAATAAGGGGGAATAGCAACAACCCAAAGAGATGGGGTATGCGGGAGATGGGCTGGGTAGAGGGCGGATGGGGCTGAAAGCTGGTGGGGGGAAGATGATGGGGATAGAGCTTGTTCAGAACTTGTTCAATCAACCCCTGTCACCCATTCCCCTCTCTCTCCCCCCTCTTTTCTCCCCCCGTCACGTTTCACCATCTTGGCAAGCAGGCCAGGTCGATTTATGGAATCATGTTCTTGATAGTGTCACGCCATGTGGTAACCATGTAACCACTACCCACGCATCTCTAACAGCAATGCATCGCGTCTCACCATCTTGGCAAGCAGGCCAGGTGGGTTTGTGCAGAGCAATCATGCTCGTGATTGTGTCACGCCACGTGTTGCCCCCCTCTCGGTCCTTTGAGTCTGTAAAGGCAAGTGGGGGGAGAGTAGGAGGGTGGGAGGAAGGAGGGTGTGAGAGGGCAGTTGAGGCGCCTGGAGAGCAACCATGCTCGTCATCGTGTCACGCCATGTGTACTGAATTGCACGTGAGAGTGCTCATGAAGGAGGAAGGAGGGTGTGAGAGCGCTTATGAGATGCTTCAAGAGCAACCGTGCTCCTCATAGTGTCACGCCATGTGTACTGACTTGCACGCTCTCGCACAAGTACAGGCGCCCCCTTCTCGGTCCTTGGAGTCTGGAAGGGGAAGCTGGGGAGGAGTAGGGACGAAGGAGGAAGGAGGGTGTGAGAGCGCTCATGAGATGCTTCAAGAACAACCGTGCTCTTGATCGTGTCCTGTGAGGCGTGTTTTCAGTCGACTCAAAACACACGAGGTGCCTCAGAATACACCTCAATGCTCAAGGAGGGTGTGAGAGCGCTCATGAGATGCTTCATGAGCAGCCGTGCTCTTGATCGTGTCACGCCATGTGTTGCCCCCTTTCCAGTCCTTGGAGTCTGGAAGGGGAAGAAGAGAGGGGGGTGCGGAAGGAGGGTGTGAGAGGGTTTTTGAGATGCCTCAGGAGCTACCGTGCTGTGCATACTGTCATGCCATGTGTTGCCCCCCTCTTGGTCCTCGGAATCCGGAAAGGAAAGTTGGGGGGGGAGTAGGGATGGAGGATATGAGTTGACTCAAAAGTTACACTGTCCCTCACAGGGTCGAGCCATGTGTATCCCCCCTTTTCGGTAGGAGGGAAGGAGGGTGTGAGAGAGGCAATGGTGAGAGCGACAAATGGGGTTCGTTGCAGTGTTGCCTGGGGGAAGGCCACTCACAACTGCTGTTGGTGGAGGCTCACAGAGGGAGGCTCACAGAGGGAGGCTCACAGAGGGAGGCTCAGCGCACTCACCAATGAAGAAGCCCGAGTCGCACACGCACTTGGTTGCGGCCTCGGGGAAGGCAGCAGCGATGCGATCGCAAAGAAAGAGGACTGCCTGGCCGCCCGCTGAGGTGCCCGAGAGGAGGACGTGCGTCGCTGATTGGATAATGTGCTTGGACTTGAGATCTGATTGCGTTTGGCCGAAGGGTTGTGGGGAATGTGGGACAGAGAGGAACAGAGAGGAACAGAGAGGAGCAGAGAGGAGCAGAGAGGAACAGAGGGGGGCGGAGGGGAACGGAGAGGGACAGCAAAAGAACAGAGAGGAACAGGAAGAAAATAGAGAAGGGGAGATGAAGGCGAGGAGAAAGAGGGGGAGATGTGAGGGTAAAGGCAAAATTGTTCCTCTCACTCTCATTCTGCCCCAGTCACTCTTCTCACTTTCAGGCATTTCAACCACTCACTCACCCTCCATCACCGCTTGGACGATATTCCACCCATCCAAGTAAAACACAGTGCCGTTCCCGACCTCCAGCCTCTCTGTGATTTGATTCCTATTCTTACCAATCACTCACTCACTCACCCTCCATCACCGCTTGGACAATATTCCACCCATCCAAGTAAAGCACCGTGCCGTTGCCAACCTCCAGCCTGCCCGTTGTGCCCTGGTAGCCACCCCCATCGCAGTAGATGAGGCGGACGGAGTTCCAGTTGTGGAAGGGCGGGTTGATCCTGCTGCTGCTGCTGAACATGCATGTGAAGGACGGGAAAATGCGCCGCTGGGGGGGAGGGGAGGGGGAGGGGGGATGGAGAGGGGGTACGGGGGGAGATACAGTGGATTGAAATGAAGGAAGGGTGGTTTGATCCTGCTCCTGATCCTGCTGCTGAACATGCCTGAGAAGGGCGGGAAAATGCGCCGCTGGAGAAGAAGTTATACCTTCTTGCTGGAGGAAGGTATAACTTGCTGCTTCCATGAGCCATCTGGCTCCTGGCGACACACTGGGCGGCATTTTTTAGTCAAACTCGCAAGTCGTACCTTCTTGGTGAGCTTGTCAGGGGAGAACTTGCTGTTCCCGCGAGACGTCTTGCTCCTGGTGACACACTCGGCGGCAGAGCTGCACCATACGCCGGGCGGCAGGTAGATGTGCCACTTGCTCTTGCCACCCTCTCTACCCGCCTAGAAACAGTACCCTTGGGGGCTGGGATGGGGGGGAAAGGAGGGGAGATGAGGGGAGAGGAGGGGAGAGGTGGGGAAAGGAGGGGGGAGTGGAGGAGGAAGAAGTTTTGGCAAATAGATGTGCCACATGCTCTTGCCTTGCCACCCTCTGTGGCCCCTGGGAATAGTACCCTGGGGAGATTCAATAGGACAAGCCTGTTCCCCTTCATTTCCCCTTTCTTCGCCATTTATTCCCCTTTCTTCTCCCAAATATTTCCCCTTGATTCCCCCAATCACCATCCTCTTATTCCCCACTCCCCCTTCATTTCCCCTTCCCCTTATTTTCCCCTTTATTTCCCGCTCCTGAAACCAAACCCGTTATCAGCAACGGCTACTCTCAGAGCGGATTACTGACTTCGGGTCATCCGCTCTTTGAGTAATCCGAAAATGTGGGATCCAATCAGAAAACCCAAATCTCGAGATTGGGAATTTTCGATTGGATCCCACAATTTCGGATGACTCAAAGAGCGGATGACCCGAAGTCAGGAATCCGCCCTCAGCCTTACCCCCGTCCTCCCTCCTACCCCACTTTCCTTTCCGCTTTCCCCTTCTCCCCCTTCCCCCTCCGCCGCTTACCTCCTGTCGAGGCATTTTGCGTCGAAGGGATTCCTTGCCAGCAGGGCGAGCCGCGGCTTTGCCGACGGCGCCGAAGGCAGAAACCGCTTTTCCAAGAGCGCGTCAGAAAGTACTGCAGGAAAAACGCGGTGCCCTTAAAGTCGACCTTTCAGCCCGCTTTCATCGAAAAAAGAGGGCGTTTAGAGGGGTATGCATTTGCTTAGAGTGGGTGCGGGAAGGAGTTATGCTATTATTCAAACATTCGATGATAAAGCTGTGCTTGTAATGGCGGAGCTATAATGATAAGGGTGTAAAGAGCTAGCACGAGACGACCAACTTCCACCTTGTCGAAAATGGCGAAAGTTGTAAAGAAATGAGGAATGAATGAACTAGCAAGCAGGTGGGTACAAGTAGGAAAACCTAAAAGTGTTGTACCCCATATTGTCTACCCCACTACAGCCTACACAGACTATGGCATATGAGTTCGACACACCCCCATAGGCAAAGTGGGGGAGAACAAGAGGTCACAAGACCAGTCAAGCAAAGCAAAGCAAGCTCAGGGTGGATCACAACGTCACCACACAGTCCGAGCACAAGCTCAAGGCCACAAGGCCAGTTCACATGCAAGATCATATATAAAGGTAAAAAAGCAAGTGCAGGTATAGTAAGATCACAGTAAAAGCAAGGTCAAGAAGTGAGCAAGTGAGGCCAAGTAGGCACAAGACCTAGCATCGTACAGAAGCGCTGATGATCACAAGGCGGAAGTACCTTGGTAAAGATATCAGCAGTGTTGGCCTCAGAGGCCACGTAAGCAAGGCGCAGCTGACCACGCTGCTGCAGCTCACGAGCAAGGAAGTAGCGAAGAGCAATGTGCTTCGTTCTGTGCTCCAGTCTGTGCTCCCGACACAAGGCCAGCATGGCCTTGTTGTCTACGTACAGAACTGGAGGAGAACAAGGCGGTGCTCCGAGGTCAGTCAGCAGGTAGGTGAGCCAGCGTAGCTCCTGTGCAGCCATGGCCCCCGCGTAGATCTCAGCCTCACAGCTGGAGCCGAGAACAGAAGACGAGCGGGTAGACCGCCACGAAACAGAGCCGGAACCAAGGCTGAAGGTGTAATCCTGTGACGACCGCTACGTAGCCTGGTCAACAGCCCAAGAAGCGTCTGCGTGACCTGTGAGGACCACTGGACGTCGCCCTGCAAGCACTAGCCCCATGCCCGACGTACTGCACAAGTAGCGCAACACCCTCTTCGCTGCAGCCATGTGCTCTGGTCGATGTCTCCCAAGAGCTGTCAGAATCCCAACCACTAGACCATTGGGATAAAAGGGCTTGTTAAGTAGCTGGTCAGTGCGCCCATAACCCCCCAGACCAACGTGCCTGTAACCCTTCCCTAGGATCAATCAGGGATCACCAGTGGACCTCTGACACCCCCCCGCACTGAGATGCCCAAAGTGCATACACCGGGATTCGAACCAACCTTCGCTCTGATACCATGTCAAAATCCCAACCACTAGACCATTGGGATAAAAGGGCTTGTTAAGTAGCGGGTCAGTGTGCCCATAACCCCCCAGGCCAACGTGCCTGTAACCCTTCCCTAGGATCAATCGGGGATCACCAGTGGACCTCTGACAGGAGCAACATAGCGTGCCAAGATGCTAAGAGGGTATGCAAGGTCAGGTCGTATGAAGGTCATCAGGTACATGAGGCAGCCAACAAGCTCTGGCTACGGGCCACTCGGCTCTACGGACTCATCCGAAGGCAGAGCTGAGAGCGAGTGGCGGAGTAGACAGAGGAGTGGCCTGAGGCGAGGAGTACGTGAAGTCGAAGCGCTGAAGGACCTGCTGCACCATGTGTGACTGAGTCAGGGTAATGGTGCGCTGTGCTATGTCCCGGGTGATCTGCAAGCCAAGGTAGCTGCGCAGTTCACCCAGGTCTATGCACGTGTGTCTCTTCTGCAGCTCGGACTTCACGTGGGCGAGTCCAGTAGTGTCAGCAGTGGCAAAGACCAAGTCGTCGACGTACACGAGGATGTAGAGCGGCGGCAAAGAGGTGTCGGTGCGCAGAAGCAACGACAGGTCGGCAGTAGAAGGAGCAAACCCAAGAGCCGCAAGTGTAGTCCTCAGTGTGTTGTGCCACTCACGCGGCGCCTGGCAGAGACCGTAGACTGGCCGCTGGAGGCTCCACTGGGTACCAGGAGGAAACGACCCAGTGAAGCCAGGTGGGCGGCGCAGCCAGATCTCCTCGTGCAGGCTGCCCTACAGGAAAGCTGTGCTGAAGTCAAGAGAGTGAAGCTCGTAGTCGCGCTGAGCGGCTATGTGCAGCAGCACCCGAAGAGTGGTCATCTTCGGGGTGGGAGAGAAGGTCTGAAAGTAGTCAACTCCATGCCGGTGACTGAAGCCTCGAGCCACGTAACGCGCCTTGAAGACAGGCGGAGAACCCGGCGGCCGCTTCACCCTAAAAATCCACATGCCACTGACGATGTTCGCCCCAGGTGGGGGAACCTCGTCAACGTAGGTGCCTTTGGACTTCCAGGAAGCCATCTCTGCATCCATGGCTGATTGCCACTATGAGGAGTAGGGACCCTCGATCGCCTCAGCGTACGATTGAGGAGTCGGGATGTCTGGTGTATCCGGGTCTCCCTCAGAGGCAATCAGCGTGGACATGAGATGAGGCAAAGCAGCAGCAAAACACTGGAATTCCTCCAGCCTGTCCTGAAGGACGTCCGTGCTAAGAGCACACTCATCCCTCGACGGACGGAGGACAGACAGACTCAGACTCAGCAACGAGACTAGCGGCGTAGTCTAGACGACAACGAGCAGCAAAGTCGATAAGCTTAGCAACTAAGGCAGACGCAGTAGTGGACTCAAAGGAAGGGTCAGTGACGACAGTAGCCAGGAGACGCGTGACGGTAGGAGTGGCAGCACGAAGAGAGTCAGATTCCGGGTCAGCAAGAACAGGAAGAGAGGACTCTGGAGGAGACGGCAACGGGACACGTAGAGGAGCAGTGGAAGGACGCAGTGCCATCTTGTGTATGCCTGGGACCGCGGGAGGACGCGGACGCGGAGCACGACTACTAGTGCGAGCAGCACGAATAGGCGACGCAGGACGAGACACAGGCTCACAACGCTCAGCAAGACCTCCAATAGGACCACTGTAGGGAGAAGGAGCAGGTAGGGCGGAGGCGGGCCGTAACTGTGACTGCGACTGGACAGGCTATGGACACTCTAACGGAGGAGCAGGACCAGTAGAGGGCGGGAGACCAAGAACCTGCTCAAGGAGCGGAACGAAGTACGCCCGCGGCCGCGCAGCGACTCCAGAACCAGCAGGGACAGCACCAGTACCCCCAGCGGCAGCACCAGCGCCAGCAGCACCTCCAGCTCCAACAGCGCCAACTCCAGCACCCTCAGAAGCACCAGCGCCAGCAGCACCTCCAGCGCAAACACCCCCAGCTACTCCAGCTCCTGCAGCTCCAGCAGGACCGTCAGTTCTAGTACCGCCAGCAGCTCTAGCACTACCTCCAGCAGGACCAACTCCAGTAGCCCCAGCAGCACCCCCAGTCCCAGCAGCTCCAGTACCGCCAGTATGAGCACCTCCAGGACCAGTAGCAACAGTAGCACCTCCAGCTCCAGCAGCACGGCTCCAGCGCCGGGCAAACCACTCGCATAGCTCCTGCGGAGAGGGTAGCTCCCGCCTCGACGAAGCACCGCCAGAGGCCACACGAGTAGACCCAGCACCCCCAGGCTCCGCACCCCCAGGCTCTGTTCCCCCAGGCTCAGCACCCCCAGGCTCCCCACCCCCAGGCTCAGCACCCCCAGACCCGGCACCCGCAGGCTCAGCACCCCTAGACTCAGCACCCCCAGGCTCCGCACCCCCAGGCTCAGCATCCCCAGACCCAGCACCCGTAGGCTCAGCACCCCTAGCAGCACCAGAGTCAACAGCTACCTCGAGAGGCTCGACTGCGTCAACCTGGGACACACCTGACGAGGCAGGATCCTGAGGGGGGAGAGCGTCTACCGGGGGAGGACCTGGCGCAAGGAAGAGTGGCGGCGGGAGGAGGGGCGCAGTGCGGTAGGGGAAGAGACGGTAGTAAGGCACCGACACATCAAAGGTGACGTCCTGGCAGGACAGAACATGGCGCGAGGTGGGGTGGTAAAACTGCCAACCAGGCGCGTCAGGGGGGAAGCCAAAGAAAGACGCAGGGAACCGCACGGGGGGACAGCTTGTCCGCAGACAAGTCGTGGACAAACGCCCGAGATCCCCAGACACGAAATGCAGACGCATCGCCAACCTTCCCTGTCCACCGCAAGGTGGGGGAGGTCTCTGGCAAGGAGACCCGGGGCTGAAGGTTGAGCTGATGCGCTGCGTACTGAACCGCAAATGGCCATAGAAAATGGGGAGCAGCCGCATGGATCATGGACGTACGAGCGACGTCCATGACCATGCCAATGCGGCGCTCAGCAATCCCATTTTGCTGTGGAGAGGCAGGAAGCGTGAAGGTCTGGCAGATGCCCTGTGCACGACAAAAGGCTCCCTGACGGGCAGAGGAAAACACCCCGCCTCTGTCAGAGTGCAGACGCAGAACAGGAAAGTCCGAGCCGAAACTCTCTCTGAGCTGGAGACGAGCCGCGCGGATCCAGTCGATCAACACCTCAGTGACGTCATCCTTGCTGCCCAAGGGGAACACCGTGGTGTAACGCGAGTAGTCGTCAACCACCAACAGGAAGTAACGCTCGTGACCCTGGCCACGGACGCGGGCGGGGCCCCACACGTCCATGTGAAGAGTCTGCAGGGGAGCCTCTGTCGGAGGAAACTCGGAGGAGTGAGGGGCGGCGCGCTGCCGCCCCTCGACGCAGGGAATGCAGGTAGGGGCAGGCCCAAGAGGGAGGGGAGGGAGGGACCGGGGGAGACCAGAGACAAGGACACGGGAGGCCATGCCTCGGAGACAAGGCAGGGAGGGGTGACCAAGGCGGTGGTGCCAAAGGAGAGCCTGGTGGGACAGGAGACGACACGAGCAGGGAGCAGACTCAGGACCAGACCTGGACGCTGCAGCAAACACCTGACTCTACGCAACTACCTGACCAGACCCAGCAACCGGAGGAGACTCAGTAGTCAGTGTGTACAGGCTCGACCCCGGCCGACGACTAAACGTGGCCAAGTGTCGGCCCGTCCGAGCACACGTACAGTGGGTCACCCGCTGACTCGCAGGAGTGAACTGGTCAACCCCCCCATCCTGTAGATAAGCACCACTCACCAAGTTTGTAGAGAACGAGGGGAGGTAGAGACCTGACAGGGTGCCAGAGGGGGCTGCCGGACACGGTAAGACAGTGGAGAAGCGAGCAAGGACAGGACCCCCAGAGGGGTCCGCCAGGGAGACCGCAACCGGCCGACTAAGCGGCGTAAGCGTGGTGCGGTCTCGAAAGAAGGAGCGGGAAGCACCCGAGTCAAGGGTGAAGGTGTGTAAGGCCTGATGCGACGTGGTACCTGAGAGAGCAGACTCACCAGCACCTGGGGCAGCAGACGCACTAGCACCTAGAGCAGCAGCCTCACCAGCACCTAGAGCAGCAGCCTCAATGCCCGGGTCAGGCGGAACACACAGGTTACAGTCACCCTCATCACTAATAGACACAACATACATGGCAGCAAGAATGGCATCATAGTCAAGATCAAAGATAGCAGCCCCTGCCCTAGACAGGGGTTGCTATGTAGTAGAGGGTGATGTACATGGGGGGGGGGGGTTCTTGGTGCAGAACTCAGCAGGAAGCGCAGCGCGGTAGCGGGTGTCACTAGTGCGAAGGTGCGTATCGAGGTCAGCGACAGTGGGAAAGGTGGCGAGGTCAGGAAACACGTACGGCAGTATGAGGCGACTAAGAGCAGTAGTGGCAGGGGAAGAGTAGCGTGCAACTGCAGCGTCGTGCAAGGTCTTAGCACTCTTGTACTGACTAAAGTGCGCACGCTCAGCGGTCGGTAAGTGGTGACGTACAGCAAGACGGGCAGCAGCATCGCGTGTGGCCCACTGTGAGCGAACAGTGCTGTCAGCATCAGCAGGCGGGGCAGGAGAGGCACCAGAGGTGAGATCGAACAGGGAGAGTCCGTTTGCCCTATCACACTGTAGGAAGAGCTGGAGGTCATCGACCCAGACCTCAAAGTCAACAGCACGACCCTCAGCATCAAAGGTAAGGACACTAGGGGTAGCCATGACAGCAGTGGTCTAGCAGGGAGTGCTCTCACCAGTCCGGGTGGGTAGGGCCGGTGCGCGCCGGTAGGAATAGTAGCGGCTCGACGGCGGCTCGGCGGCAGCGGCTCGGTAGTGGCGGCTCGACGGCGGCCTCGGCGGCTCGGCTGCTGGGCGGCTCGCCTGCTGGGCGGCTCGGCTGCTGGGCGGCTCGGCTGCTGGGCGGCTCGGCTGATGGGCGGCTCGGCTGCTGGGTGGCTCGGTTGCTGGGCGGCTCGGCTGCTGGGCGGCGCGGCAGCTCGGCTGCTTGGCAGCTGAAGGGGCCGTGAAGGGCGGTGACGGGGCCGCTAGAGGCGGCGACTGGGCCGCGAAGGGCGGCGACGGGGCCGCTAGGGGCGGCGACGCGGCCGCGAAGGGCGGCGACGGGGCCGCGAAGGGCGGCGACGGGGCCGCTAGGGGCGGCGACGGGGCCGCTAGGAGCGGCGACGGGGCCGCAAGGGGGCCGCGAGGGGCCTCGAAGGGCGGCAACGGGGCCACTAGGGGCGGCGACGGGGCCGCAAAGGGGGGTGCGAGGGGCCTCGAAGGGCGGCGACGGGGCCGCTAGGGGCGGCGACGGGGCCGCGAAGGGGCCGCGAGGGGCCTAGAGGGGCGGCGACGGGGCCGCGAAGGGGCCGCGAGGGGCCTAGAGGGGCGGCGACGGGGCCGCAAAGGACGGCGACAGGGCCGTAAGGGGTGGCGACGGGGCCGCTAAGGGTGGCGCGAGGGGCCGTGAGAGGCGACGTGAGGGCGGCCAACGGGGCGCGCCTCGGGCAGGGGCGACTCGCGCTCCGGTCAGGAAAAAAATGTCGATTTCAGTGGTGGGCCCTGAGAAGCGTTCCCACTAGGGAACCTGCTCTATACCATGTAAAGAAATGAGGAATGAATGAACTAGCAAGCAGGTGGGTACAAGTAGGAAAACCTAAAAGTGTTGTACCCCATATTGTCTACCCCACTACAGCCTACACAGACAATAGCATATGAGTTTGACAAAAGTAACTGGTGTGCCCCTTTCGAGAATGGAATTGGCGAAAGTGAGGGTGTGTTTTCATTTGAATTTAGTTCGAAAATCAGTGGTGCGTGAACCCGAAATCTCAAAGCTTTGTTATCGATCACATTCTCACAAGGCCATCACCGCCATAGCTTCCTGTCAGAGACTTCTAAGTCTACAATGTCAGCTCTAACTTAGTCGGTATCTTAATTTGAACACAGTTTCGGGATCTGCAGATCAGGAGCTGACTATCGACACTAAAATTGTGTCCACACAGCGGACATTGTTGTCGCACTCGTTTGGCTCATACGTTCCGTGTGAGTGTGGCGACAACGTTTGTAAAAATCTACAGCGATTCTAGGCTTGTGCTGCATAGCTATTGACGAGACAGCATGAGTAACGAGAGTTGCCGTAAAAATCGCGGTCACGTGGTACTAGCTGATGACGCACTCGCTTTCTACTTACGTGAGAGCCTAGGCCGGTCATGAGTACTACTAGGCGATCAAGATATGTGTGAGCCAAACAGCGGGCCAACCTGAGCGACGCTCGGTTCTGTTTTGCGATCGTGCACATCAGCCAAGTAGGAGAGAGTGTCGCTAGGCGTTGTCCCAGAGTCGCGAGAGTTCTGAGCAATAAAGTAGGGTAACCCTGTTTTTGACGATTTCAAATTCAAGAATCTTGAACTTGAAAATAACCATGCTGTACCCGAGCTTTAAATACTTTCAAGCTTCAGACAATGCTTAAAGCTCAAGACCCAAATTGCAAGCCGCGGCCACCAAGATTAGTAATCTTGATGGCCTCGGAAGTGTGTTACCCGATTCATTGACACGAAAGTTCGAGCGACAACAACACCTGTCCCCAACCGTAGCGATTGGTTGGGTAGATCCGGGCGAAACTTTGTAGCCTTGATCCAAACACCAGGCAGACCCCGAATACTCACCTTGATGCCCACAGCCCCGCAATTTGGGACTTTTGAAGTTCCAACCACCGAGGAAAGCCATAGGGAAGGGGCAACACACTTCATGTGATCCAAGCAAGATTACTAATCAGCGCTTAGACCACTCACTCCTAAACGCCCTCCTATATCCGTCTAGGAATGATAATTGCTTCGATTAGGGCTACAACCAGGCTTACTAAAATCGCGTAGACTCAATGGTGACGTACGTGTGAAGCATCAACGTTCTCTTGGTGCCTCGCAACAGTCATAACTAGAAGCCATCGAAGGTGTGTACTGCTGCGGCAGGCGTGACGCGATACCCAGAAAGCCGAGGGCGTGTGGGTGGGGAAAGTGCTTTGCCATTGTATTCAGCACGTCGCACACCCACGCTCGTCGCTCATCCATCCCCCGCGCTCAACTGCGATCATAGAAAACCCGCGCTCACGGCTCGTCCGCGCAGAAATCTCATACCCGCTCTTCGCGTCATCCGCGCGTGAAATCTCATTCGCTCTCGTCACTCATCCGCGCTCGAAATCTCATCCGCGCACCCCGCTCATCCGCGCTCGTCTCTCATCCGTACATGCCCTCAATCCGCACTCGTCTCTCATCTGCTATTGTACTAGATGCGGGCTCGTCTCTCACAGCATGTGCGCGCGCAATGAATTCACGAGCGCACCCCTAGACTGCATGTGCGCTATGCGACTGCATGCGCGCCATGCGACTGTATGCGCGCGATGCGACTGCATGCGCGCCATGCGACTGCATGCGCGCGATGCGACTGCATGCGCGCCATGCGACAGCATGCGCGCGATGCGACTGCATGGGCGCCATGCGACTGCATGCGTGTGATGCGACTGCATGTGCGCCATGCGACTGCATGTGCGCAATGCGACTGCATGTGCGCCATGCGACTGCCAGAGCGCAATGCGACTGCATGTGCGCCATGCGACTGCATGAGCGCCATTCGACTCCATGAGCGCCATGCGACTGCACGCATGTGCATGTGCGCCGTGCGACTGCGGAAAACTGCATGTGCGCGCTCTATAACTGCATGCGCCTCCCTGTCTCTTGCCTTTCCTGGATCCGCGTTGCTCTCCCCCTCCATCTCTTCCTCCGCTCTCCCCTTTACCCCTCCCTCCCTTGTTCACCTCCCTCCCCTCCCTGTGCATGACCGACAGGCTCCAACGTCACAACGCCCACACGCCGCTCCACCCGCAGTGCCAGCGCCCACCTCGCCCACCAGGCAGCGCCGCGCGCTTTGCTGGCTGCGCGGACAGCAGCCACGAGCATGCTGCAGGCGAAGCAGGTGAGCGTGCAGTTCCCCCTTTGCCTATGCCTTTCCCCCTTGCCCATGCTTATCAGCCTTGCTCATTCCTTTCCCCCTTGCCCATGCCAACCCGCCAAGCTCAATCCTTTCCCCCTTGCCCATGCCTATCCGCCTTGCTCATTCCTTTCCCCCTTGCCCATGCCTATCCGCCTTGCTCATTCCTTTCCCCCTTGCCCATGCCTATCCACCTTGCTCATTCCTTTCCCCCTTGCCCATGCCAACCCGCCTTGCTCATTCCTTTCCAGAACGCCCATGCCTATCCGCCTTGCTCATTCCTTTCCCCCTTGCCCATGCCTATCCGCCTTGCTCATTCCTTTCACCCTTGCCCATGCCAGCCCGCCTTGCTCATTCCTTTCTCCCTTGCCCATGCCTATCCACCTTGCTCATTCCTTTCCCCCTTGCCCATGCCAACCCGCCTAACTCATTCCTTTCCCCCTTGCCCATGCCTATCCGCCTTGCCCATTCCTTTCCCCCGTTGCTCACCTCCTCCCCTCCCTCTTCCGTGGGCAGCTACGTTGACGGAGAGCCAATGGACGATGCGCTGTGGATCTTCAAGTGGATGCACGCCACTGCTGCTGCTGCCGAGGCAGAGGTAAGTGGCGGTGGAGATGCTAGGTGCAGCGCCTCCCACTGTGTGCCGAGGGCCTGCCACCGCCCCTCTGCTGATACCTCAGTCCCCAGCCGTCCCACAGGCACCTCCTCTGCCCCGACCAGGACAACAACCTCTCGCCACTGGAGGGGCGGACCTTTTCCGTGTTAGGGTTGGGCAATCGGCAGTACGAGCTGTTGGTGTAACCCTACGGTTTGCACTCGGCTTGTTGTCCGTGTGCGTGCATGTGTGTGTGTATGGAATGGTATGAGGGCATGGGATAATATATATTTCATGCTTATAATTGTGTGTGAATGTTGAGTCATGATGTCGAGTGTGTGTGTCGAGTCAATAGCGAGTTATCGCTAGACGCGTGTTACGCGGTCGTTTGTGTCTCGCGCGCGGTTTCTATTTTGTCGTGCGCGGTTTCTATTTTGTCATGTGTCGAACGTTCGGCGTGTCGCAGGTGTGTGCAGAAGACCCATCAAGAACTCAAGGATGAGTTTGTGATGAAGAGCCCGAGCCTTGGTGTCAAGCCTCAAGTGATTTCGAAGCTCGCCAAAAGGGTGCACCTCAAGATATTGAAGATAGTTACATTACTTTGTGTAGTGTAACATTTCACTTGGTGTAGGCCCTAGTGAAGGGTAGTTTTGAGACCCTTTGTGGTTGGGGACAGTGTGGCACTGTTCCACATCACTGTACCTCGGCTCTTGGGGTTTGTAGGAACTGGGAGTCATTCCCAACTCGTAACTCTTCCTAACTCTTCCTATCTTGTGTTCTAAGACTATGTTGCTGCCATAGTGCCGTTCGTTCAAACCAATGCTGTGTCGTCAGTTCTTAATGAAAGCGTGCGATCTAAATTGCCTATTGTAGGCGACGTTAAGACGCTCCAGATCCAAGTTGAATGAAGTCATTTGGAGTTGTGAGCAGATCGCTATGAACGTTTGAAGCCGCTCTGCAGAAATCCGACGGTGCACTCTATCTTTCGTTTTAGGCACATTGGAGCCTACTGTGACTATAACAAGTGGTATCAGAGCCCCTTGGAGTAGTTTCGACAATGGCTGGACCTGAGGAAAGGGGTGGCAGAGGTGCTGGTGGCAGTGGAGAAGCCCAAGCTCAAGGCCAACCCCGTGACTCAGCCATGGCACCCGTGCAACCAAGTGTTGGCCCATCTAGGGACGAGCCTAGAGTGTTTGGCCTTTACAATTTCAACGGTGACAACTTTGCTGAGTGGTCTTTCAGAATGGAGAACGTGTTTGATCACTATGACCTGCTGGAGGTGATGGAAGGAACGGAGAAGCGCCCCGAGCACGACCCGGAGAAAGAGCCCGTGAGCTACCTCCTACTAGGGCAAGCGTTGGGGAGCAGCCAGATCCGTCACATCAAGCCATTCCAGCGTGAACCAGAGAAGGGACCAAAGGCATGGGCTGCTCTCAAGGGTGTACACGCTCCTGCAACAGCGGCGGTAGGTGTGGTGTTGGAACGGCAAATGTCGACATTACGAATTGAAGAGGATGAAGCGGTTGAAGAAGGGGTGCAGAAATTCTTCGACTTGTTGACTCGGCTTGAGGGAGCTGATTTGAACTATAGTGAGCTCCAAAAGAAGACCAAGTTGCTGGCCCTACTCCCTGAGTCATGGTCCTCGCTCATCATCAACCTGAATCGCGACTTGCCCCGCCTCTCGCTTGAAGACGTGAAGCGAGCTATCCTTCAAGAGGATTTCCGCCGCCGTGAGTTGGCGAGTGCGGATGGCGCAGGGGCAGCGAGCATCGACCGTGGACATGGCCGTGGAAGAGGCAGAAGACGAGGGGGAGGAAGGTTTGGTGGCAGCAACTTCAGTGGAGGCCGCGGGAGTGGCAGCGACGACAAGAGCTACGGTCGCGGTCGCGGCCGATTTGACGGTGAATGTCACTATTGCCACAAGACCGGGCACATGTGGCGCGATTGCTTCAAACTCCCTGAAGGATGGACCCCTGCTTAAGGCCAGGAGGGTAGAGGAGCAGGAGGAGGGAGAGGAAGAGGCCGTGGAGGCCGTGACGGTCGTGGTGGCGGAGCTGCAAAGATGAAGAGCGGACACAACGACAAGGATCCGAGCGACGATCGGTACCCGGGTGTATTCTACTTCGTGTCGACGCAAGTACCAGCTGGTCCAGAGAAGGATGAAGGCTTTGAGGAGCCAGCAGCTGTGGGGAAGGTGACCCTAAACCCCCTGGACTATTAGGTGATCGATAGTGGCGCTACCTATAGCATGACACCTCGCCCGGACTTGCTCACCGAACTCGAACCGTCACCGGTGA